AAACGTACATACACTTTTCCTTCAAGTTTCTATATATAACAGGCTGGAGCCGGTGGAATTATCTCAAATAAAGACATTATCCTGTCGGCGCAGGCGCACGTCTTGGAACGAGTTCGGAGTTGAAGGTCAGCTTGTGTTTCAATTATATGGATGATTTAAAACACTACATTTGTATGAATAAAATGATATATTGTTATATAGATATTAAGAGTTTCCTCTCTAAATACCCATAACTGGAGTACAAACATTGATGCTCATCACATAAATGAACGTCCTCAGCCGGACTCGAACCCGCGACCACTACAAATTAACCCAAACGTATCGTATAAGTCAAAGATTTTAACTTTCAATGACAATTTTAAGTTTTCTATTCTTCAACTATTCTAGAAGACATCTTCACTAAGAAGTAACAACCTACATAATTGTGTAAGGTATCACTGCAAATTTTAATCTACGAAACGAGCTCATACAAGATAAAAAGTAAAACGTATGACAGCTTGTATAATGAAGTGTTCATATAAAAGTGGTTTAACTCGCAGAAATAAACTGGACCAAATGTCTGACAGCTGGAGTAATGACAATATTATTTATAGTTACAAGTAAATTTTATTTCAAGTGCTCTTAAACTTTGCACATATCTAACGATAGCTTTATATCCGTGTAAAGTGACGTACATGTCTACGTAGGTACAAAATATATCTCTAATGGATGCTCCGTGATGTATGTTCGCCTGAACATCCGGAGGTCCTGGGCTCTAGTCCCGGGTCGGGCCAAGTTTAGTTATTGATTCTTTCTGTTTAGTAAGCCTCACTGGTCGTATCGAGTAGTCGTCCCACCAGAGTATGAGAGTAACAGGAATTATATATTATTATACAATTGTGTCTGCGCGTACACTTGTGCACTTTAATATCTTTTGGGCAGTTGGCTAGTCTCAATAAGATTAGCCGCCGTGGTAAATCTATCGGGAGGATATTATCCTCTAATACTGAGTGAGATTATTTATGAATTAATAGCTTATTAAGAATCAGAAGTTTGTTTTCCCCCCAGAACGGCTAAACAGATCTAGATAAAATTTAGCACAGAGATAGATTATAGTCTGGAATAACACATAGGTATATATTTTATCCCAAAAAATGTATGGTTCCTGCGGGATAGATTTGTTCTGCGCACTTAAAGTTTAATCAACTTTGTTCATAGCGTTTGAATTGGTTCTTTCATATAGCATGTGTTTGTGAAACTATAAAATAGTATTCTATCTAGTTTGTTGTATTTCAAACTATAAACTATCACGTGTAAGATCATTATACAAAAACATAGCAATCAACGCATCTACGTGATAACAAAATCATAATAGTTTCTAGATGAGCCAATTATTTTAAAATATTTAGCAAAGTAATTATAGGTAGCAAAAATAGTTTTATAAATAATTAAGTTTTAACAACAAAAGGCAACAAATGGCAGTGGTGCCCAGTGGTAACTCGGTGACGCGGAAAACCGAATGAAGCGGGTTCAAATCCAGAGTCTCGCACATCTGACATTTTCATGTGCGAACCATTTACAACATGATTATCACTTGCCTTACAGTGAAAGGAGATATAGTGAGGAAACCTGCATGTCTGAGAGAACATAGCAAGTTTTTGAAAGACATGTGCAGTCCGCTAACACGCACTAGGCCAGCGTGGTAGAGTATGGCCTGTTTCCCCTTGTATTAAAGTTAGACCCGTGCCCAGCAGTAGGACGTTAAAAAGGGCTGAATTCATACATACAACAACAAAAGGTTAAATTTAGACTTTAAAATTATTTAAAAATATGTTTTAACCTATGAGATGAAGATGATGTTTTAACCTGGATATGGATCCAATTTTACTTTCCTATTTGTTTTTTTTTTCATCTAAAACTTCTCAATATTGGAATGGAGCTACTGTTAGTAGCTATAAAATTTGAGAGCATGTTAGACCATCTGCTTATGATACCTTTTTAATACCTTGTTTTAAGTCCAGTACAAAATGATGCACCAAAAATAATTTTCAAAGGTCCATTCCATGGGATGTTATCCGTAAATAATGTTTAGCCTTAATGATCGGCGTAGACGCTTGGTGAATAAAGTCGTTAGCGTTTATCCGTATAATGACTTTATTATGAAAGGCTATCGTCGGAAAGTAAATTCTTTGTTTCAAAAAGCCGACGGAAAGTCGCCATGTAATACTTTTATTCGTCTAGTGTTTGTCCAGTATAATATAAAATCGATCGAAATCAAAAAAATCTAAATCGAGTGTGAGTCGAATTCGCAAACAAAGGGTTCCGTATCATCGTATATTATGTAGTTTATATTAATAGGACTTTTACTCTGTGTATGTATTATATTAACTTCGATGATCGATTACGAATGTTAAAAATGTTTCGTATGTTTTTTTTTATTTTTATTTTTTTTTAGGCAAAAGAAAAATACTGAAAGAAATAAAAATACTCTGTGAAAATTTCAACTCTCTATCTATTACGGTTCATTAGATACAACCCTCTGAAAGACGGACGGACGGACGGACAACGCAGGCTTATAATAACATAGTACACAAATGGACGCACATGGGATGTTGTAAGTAGATAAGTGATTTATATAATAAAAACAAGGTCGCTAAACTCTTTATGTAAAAATGTTGATAGTAACCTTTTAAAAAAATTTTTTACAAGTTTCTTTGTTTTTTTTTTTAAAAAAAACAAAAATACAAAATTACAAAAACAAAAATACAAAATTTCTACAATTTTAATAATCCTTAGAATGCTTCGAGGAACTGCTCGAGTATTCCTTAAAATAATAGACAAGCGCCATTATTTTTTGATAACATTTTTGCAAATCCAAATGTAATTTTTTAACATTGTAACCACGTGAAACCGCAGGATATGTCTAGTCTGTAACATAATATTCCTATCATGTTTTATACTCCTTAATTCACAATAATTCACAACGTTGTAAGGAATTATTATAATTAAACTTCATACCAACAACGGATATTATTTTCTACAGCAACTTTTATATAGCTGTAAAGATTCCTTATTTTATTTCATGTATGGGAATATAGCCTTTACTAATTAAAGCATAAAGCATTGATTAACTTGACATAATTTTGCATTTATGTGCATGTAATAGTAATAAAGCTATTAACCTGCTACATTTAGATGGTCAGTAAGTTATTTTAAATTTGCTCCACTATTATCAAGTTGATAGATATTACCAATTTTATTACCACTGTAATTTTAACTTCAACTTATTTAGTGCTTACATCTCAATAATATTCAGTGGAAGATTACAATTTTTTTTAAATATTATTGTGGATTTTTTTTGGTTAGTAGCTTCTAGGAGTACTGTTTGGGTACAGTTTATTTGCTGCATAGAATGAAAAAGACAAGTTATATTAAGAACTTTACGTTTTAACGTTTTGGTTTTGATATCTCAGAGATGAGATATTTTTTTTGTAACTTATATGTTGACCTGGACAACAACTATCATCATATCAAGTTCCATCAAAATTTGTCCAATAGGTTTCTCGTGATGTGTTCCCAGACAGACTAAAATTCAACCCAGTTAGACAGTCAGACAGATTTGATTCAGTAAGTATTTTATTATATGTATAGAAGATAAGCTTTAGAAATAAAATGATAATAAGTAAACTATATTTGCTGATAAAATTCTAGGTATTTGCAATTTTACATAATTTTAGAACAGTTTATATCTCGATTAAGCTACTATTGTATTGTGAAATGATGATGCTATTGATTTATATTGATTTATTCGTACGAGATTCGAACCTGCGCTCTCCAGTTTTAAACTTGAGTTGTAACAAGTGTAACCTACTATAGTCATAATGTAATGTTTTTTTTAATATTTATATGGAACCATTGGTCTTAAAGCTTCAGATAAGACAAAATTTAACGCCATTGTCCAAAATTTGACCCACCACTTTGTAATAAGTTAACAATAACAAAAATAAATACGTTAATCCGAGTGTAACACTGTGATAGCGACTTCGGTTCATTCCCTACTCGTCTTTTTATTAAAAAATCTTTTTTATAAGTCAATTCTTACTAATAATTTTTATTTGTTTGTAAAAAAATTATTTTTACTAAGTACCTACCAATAATATCATTTGTATGGTAAAGGAACATAATACATTTGAAAATATAATTGTTAAAATATTTAAAATAACATAGAGTTAACCAAGAAAATAGAATAGATAATTGACTGAACCAAAGTGGTTTAGTCAATTGTCTGTCTTTCTATTTTACTTTTCGTGTCTTACTGAACAAAGCTTTGAAACCTATTTCAAAGAGTGCCAACCATGATGTTTATTGGCAGTCCTTAAGACGTATCTACTCTCAATCGTTCTTAAAATGTGTTTTCAATACTAATTTTTTACGTCCGAAAATGGGTTTGTTGTACTGCTATCTATGCAGTCACGAAGCTTTCCACCCGTTCTGTTTCCATCTAGCCTGCTAAAAATTATTACGCTGCATCTCTTTCTAGGGTGAGTCTTTTTCTTTGGTTATCAGTTTTTTATGAATTAATTTCTATAAAGCCTAAAAGTTCTGAGATTTTAATTTGCAACTGATGCATTTTATTTTAATACAACAAATTATATAGTTTATTGAAATTCAACTTATTGTAAAATGCACAGAGTAGGGTATAGAGTTTGAGCGAGGGGTTATTAGTACTAGAATGAAATCCATTCCTATCAGCGAATCAACAAGGGCGACCTGGCAACGAACTAAAATCTTGTACTGTTTGTTCGATAAAGCCGCGCATATTTCTAAAGATTAAACACAGTGTTCGTGGGTGGAAAGTGTAATGTTCCTTTATTAGACGATTATTATAATAAAACTCTTTATTGGAATCAACAAATATTTTTATTGACTTAAGCTGTTAAAGGCAGTGGTATACAATGTTAATGCAATGAAACAAAATCTCGCTTTTTTGTTTTAAAATTTAAACAGCATAAAATTAAACTATGTCTAACAAAACTTATAATGATCTTTTATGTGATACATCAGAATTAATTGTTGAAGCGACTCAAGCTGATGAGGCGGTTTTTGAAGCAGGTAGCACAGAACGATCAACGTTTCAACCATTGCTGTCTGAACTACGAGTGCGCTATACATCGCTACTTTCTAGACTGGATACAATATATGATCAGTTATTGCAGCCACAAAAGCGCTTGATTGTCAAACGACTGCTGGAAGCCTGTCTGGGAAGACTGCTGGAAATAAAACACGATCTTGTAGAACTTCATTTATCGGATTTCACTTATGACGATGATGAGGTGAGTTATTCAATTATTCTATAATTTCAATTAATCTATAAACGTTAATTATTTAAAAGTATTTTGTATATAATAATATTATATATTTAAATTTTTATCTCACAATAGGCCTATAGACATGATAACTTTTATAAAACCTCAATTAATTAAGTTTTAACTATAATTCTATTCTATATTTCTAATAAATAATCTCAATTTGCTTTATTTCTCTAATTTATACCATATTACCTACATAAAACACATACACAAAGTTGAGTTGTACTTAATTTAGTATATTTTTTCCTAGTCACTTCACAAACTTGGAGTCACGCCTCATGAAGCTGAGCCCTGTGTACCTCAATATTTCGTTCGAGAAAGGGAGGATGAAGTGGAAAAACGTCGCATTTTTATCACAGAAACTCTTCGCAAACTTGGATATGAGCCGCCTAAGCCGAAACCATTAGTTCTAACAGAACAGCAAGCTGTGATAATCATTCAAAGTCACGAGAGAGCTAGACAAGGACGGTTGAGGTTTGTGATATTTTTTGTCTATGGAAGTTTAAGCGAAGAATTTTAACAAAAAAAAAATATTTATACATCGAATTCAAAAATCGATACAAAAATAATAATTTTAGCATTAGATTTGTACTGTTTGTATGAGACCTTTGAGGAAATAACTTCCTATTTTATATACTTATATAGAAGTTATACTATGTATATATTATAATAAGCATATGGAAATATTTTTATAAATTCATTTATTACATACAAATATTATATATATTACATATATATACAAATATTAATACATTTTATTAGTATTTACTGTATATTTTCTTATCTACTGTATATTATTTGATTTTTCTCTCAGTACTATTAGAGGTATTAATTAACTCATTCACACATTACAGAGGGCAGTTCATGAAAGAAATTCGCCTCCTAAAGGAAAAAGGTCGGGACCAAAAAGGCGAAATGTCAGCGTCAGCAGCAACTGCCATTCAAAGGGTTTGGCGAGGTTTCATAGCCAGAAGAGCGACTCGAAAGAGAAAACAACAAGAGCAATTTTTGATTGGGATGGAATTACCTTCATATACAGAGTCGGCCGCTTTATTTAGAGCGGAAGAAGTAAGACTTATGACTTATTTATTACTAGAGTTCCGTAGACTAAAGGAAAAAACGGAACACTTATAATTTCGTCATTTCCGTCTACCATAACCATTTTATGGAGCACCAGTTTGAAATTTGATTATTATGTGTTCATGTTTATGTTTCGAGTTATATGACACAAAGTCGTAAACATAGTGTCGTTGTTTTCTTTAAATAATTATTATAATAAGTGTTTTCATATAGGTATTATAACGACTTACCAAAAACTTGATTTTAAAAAGGTTAAAAGTTTACGTCGATCGCTACAAAAAGAACGTGATGCAGAATATCAAGAGGCTTTAGTAAAAATAGAAGAACAACTTCGAGCATATCATGGTGTTAAAATAAATGAGCGCATCGGTGATGAGCTTAGGAGGTGGATAACAGAATATTATGAGAGAACGGGAAAATTTCCAGATTTTCCTTCCGAAGAGGGTGGTGGAAGCAGAGCAATGTTTAGTAGACAAGGTATCTAGAAGTTAAAAAGACTATTTGTTCTGTTAACGTATCTGGCATAGTATTGAGTACGTAGTAGTAGTATATAACAAATATTTTAATTTGAAAATTTCATTTTTACTTTATTTTTTATTTTTTGTATTAATATTACACGTAATTAGATTATCTTTTTTTTAATTTAAGGAACTGGACTTGATACTGAACTAAGTAAATCTTCTCCTGTATCTTCAAAAGATTCAAAGAAAAGTAAAGAAAGCAAAGATAAAAAGAATAATAAGGCCGAGGAGAGTAAAAGTAAAGATGAAGCTGAAGACTTAAAGAACTTTAAATGTAGTACATCCATATTTCTAAAAGATATGGTAGACGCGAATGAAGAGTTAGTACTGTTAATTTTTTAATGTAAGAATTTATTATTCTCTTAATATAAATTGATTTGGAAAAATATTATGGTTTAGGTACGAGGATATATGGAAATTTAGCGAAGATGAAATTATTCAACATGAAAAATGTGATAGAGATATGATCGAAAGAGAAAAAATGGTAAAATTGGAACAAGAGATAAGGAAAGTAGTTGATGAATTGATGAGGAGTGAACTTGAGCTCTTACAAGCAGCTTTTGATAGAGACAGAGCACATAAAGGAAAAAAAACTAAGAAGCCACAAAAGAAAGTAATATTATGAATTAAATTAATGCGTAGAATTTTTTTATAAAATAATAAAGTATTAGTAATTGCTGTTTGTTTTTTTAGGTACGGCGTGGTGGTAAGAAAAGTAAAAAGAAGAAAGAAAAAGATTTAACACCTGATAGATCTACTGAGTCCCTATTTGAAGAGTTAGTTACTAATGGAATCATCCGTCCCTATCCGGTTGTTAAAATAGATGATTTTATTGGTGAAAAAAGTTACGTGGGGTCAGATTGGAGAAATCAGGGTCGAGAACCTAGTCCATGTTTAGGTGATATACGTCAGCTTATAAAAGAATATTGTATACTTCCTTTAGGATCTGAAAATGTAAGAGCAAATGCGCCAGTGGTCAGATCTGTCCTTATTGCAGGTATTATTTGTTGTAATAAATAATGTTATTACTTATATGATAAGATAAATTACTTTATAAATGAACAGAGTATAACATGATTATTTTTCTGTAAATCATTAAATGTTATCCAGGTCCTTCCGGAAGTGGCAAAAAAATGCTGATCCACGCTATATGTAGCGAAACGGGGGCCATGTTGTTTGACTTAACGCCCGCAAATATAGTTGGAAAATATCCAGGAAAAACAGGCCTCATAATGTTAATACATCTTGTTATGAAAGTATCAAGACTTCTTCAGCCATCAGTAATATGGATGGATGAAGCTGAAAAACCTTTTGTTAAGAAGATACCAAAGACTGATAAAACAGACCCAAAAAGACTGAAAAAAGATCTGGTGAAGATTATAAAAGGTAGGAGTCGTGTTATAATATAAAAATAACGGTAAGAACGTAATTTATGTGTGTTTGGAAAAAAATAAGATAATAAAAATAATTATATGATAATGAGTGATAATAATTATTATTTATAGGAATTTGTCCGGAAGATAGAGTATTATTTGTTGGAACATCTAGAACTCCTTGGGAAGCTGAGCAAAAACTTTTATTTCAATGTTATGCAAAAGTAATACAAATCCCAAGAGCCGATTATGGAAGTATATCATTGATGTGGCGAACTAAGCTTCACAAAGCAGGTGCTCTGTCTCCAAAATTAGAGCTGTCGTGCCTATCAAGAGTTTCTGATTCTTATACTATAGGTGAGTTTAGGTTCAGACTAAAATTTAAACTTGTTGATGGTTAAAAATATCCTTTCTGTCTGAAGATTTTACGTCATTTTGAAAATGATAGATTAATAAAGAAGAAGATGTTAGGCTCCAGTTAATAGTATATCGAAAGCTTACAATTTTATCGCAGTGAATTACTCTAACATCTGTCGCGATAAATTGAGATTTCCAAGAAACAATAATTTTATAGGCATATACCTAGACGGCTATAGCCTATAAAAACATTTACTCTTAACAAAACTTTAAGCACAGACGTCTGAAAATTTAAAAATCTCTTTTTTTGCGTAAACTGTACTGTGTATAATGCATCAAATAAACAGCCTCCAATGCCCACAGTTATGTCATATGCATTATCTTACAGCTAATGTTACATACCTATTTAAGTTTTGCGCGGACTATAATTTACTTTAATTCCTTTAGGTAGTTTATTATCTGCATTGGATTCTGTATTAACAACTAAAAGGCGGCTACAGTTACGAGTAAGAGCTCTCACTGCCCAAGAAATAGCTGTACAGTTAAGTGCTCTTGAACCTGTGTATGCAGAACAAGTAAGTACACATCCTAATGAGGGGTGCATAAATAATTATGAGGCAATTTGAACTTTAGTCACTATTATGTATGTAAGCATAAAAGGAATCTTACATAAAGTTAAGTAAATCTACGATTTGACACACAACAATTAGAATTCCATTATTTATGAAAAATACACTTGTACGATAAAAAAATATTAGGATTACAATTGTTTAGTAAATTCACTTTATTTAAAAGAAATTTCTTGTTAATAAACATATAGTTTCTTGAATTGTTACTTTATATTTTACTAGCGACTTAACCTCGCTTCGCTCGGATTCGTCCCTAGGTTGATTCCCCATGCAAACTTTCATCTCTATTTTCACCCCCCTAAGAGATGATTTCCGGGATAAAAGGTATCTTATATCCTTCCTAGAGTTTCAAACTATCTTCTTACCAAATTTCATCTAAATCGGTTCAGTAAATCCAGAGATTACCCCTTTCAACCCCTCAAACTCACAAACTTTACCTCTTTATAATATTAGTATAGACTAGCGACTTACTCTTACTTTATTGGGGTGCGTGCTAAATAGCCTATGTGTTACTCTACAGTCTAGATTATAGTCTATCTATATATTCATTCAAAACCTTCCAGCCGTCAACGTAAAGAAGTAAAAAACGCCCATACACAAATACATACATCAGTTTGTAGTGACCCTACTTTCTATGCCAGCGGTCGCGGGTTCGAATCCCGCTGGGGGCATTCATTTGTTTGATGACGAATGTTTGTACTCCAGTCATGGGTGTTTATATTTATAATATGTATGTATTTAAAGTTATATATGTGTAGTGTATCAACTATCTGGTACCCATAACACGAGCCTTGTAGCTTACCATGGAACTAGATGGCGCTGTGTGTTAATGTCCCAACGTATTTATTTATTATTATTTATTATTACATATACACTTTATTTATAATAGTAGTTCTATGTATATATGCATTATTTGACGACGAACGTATGTATTTATTAATTTAAATCTAAATCTTAAAATTATTAGGATGCAGCAGCAGAGTCCTGGTGGTTAAAAACACCCATGGAGAGACGTCGACAGAGAGTTTTGCAGAGACTTTTGGAATTGGAGCAAGAGAATGAAGAACGGGCTGCCGCTGGGAAATAATAATAATTTTTCTTATATTTACAAAATAAGTTAGATATTAGGTAAAACTAACACTATACGAAAAAAAAGGATTATAGTAGGAGACAAAACAAAATATTTTTGATTATTTTTTGCCTGTAATAGATCTTGAGAATTTAGATAATATTTTTAAGTCAAATATTTGACTCGCTTGTGTAAATCTATAAAAATATTTATTCAGTTTCAAAAGAAGGAATTCCATTAAATTTCTGTTAACTGAACAGCTAAAATATCAATGCGTGGGAGACTATAACTAGAAAATCATGGACTAAAAATATAATATCGTAGATAATATAATATATTGATACTTAAAATAATATGAAAGTAACAATATGTATTTTTTATAATGTTTTTACATTCAACATTTTTTCAGAATATCTTCTTTATATGTCAAGTCAGGCCTAATATAGGCATATATGTCTACCTATAGGTCTAGATTTTGATTAAGACGAGAAAACAAAATAAAATATTTTAGATAAGTTTATATTATCGAGAAAAAAAAGGTAGTTCTAGCTCAGTGGTAACGCGCTCGCTTGGGAAACCGAATGAAGCGGGTTCAAATCCGGTTCTCGCACGTCTGATATTTTCATATGCGAATCATTTTCAACATAATTACTACTTGTCTTATTGTGAAGGAAAACATCGTAAGGAAACCTGCATGTCTGAGAGAACTTAGTCAGTTTTCAAAAGACATGAAATCCTCCAAACTGTTCTTGGCCAGCGTGATGGACTATGGCCTGATCTTCCTCGTATGGAAGGCAGACCCGTGCCCAGCAGTGGGACGTTAAAAAGGGCTCAATACATACATGCAATACATATATAAAGTTGATTATTAACAATAACAATGTTTTAACTTAATAAATAATACTTTTATTTTAAGTATACTTTCATTTAAAACTATGATGAACAATATCATAAGCTTTTTATTATAATCACAGTTAAGTAAATAAATATAATAAAAATTCTAGTATCCCTATTTATGAACAATAAAATTATGAAAGTTTATGAGAATATTCTCTGTTAGGTATAAAATGTCGTTTAACACGAAGTCTAGCTTGCCAACAAAACATGTTAGAGGAAAATTCTGTTGGACTAAAAGTTCACACAAAGGCAAATGTTAAAAACTTCCTTTCACTTAATTCAAAGCTTTGTTTTTAATATATAAAATATACTGGTGACTTATGCATGCTTTACTCGGGTTTGTCGCTAGGTGTGTATTTGATACTTCAGGCATAGTCAGCATCTTTATACTAAACATCTACATAAATCTATCCAGGTTTCCTAGGGTGAAGGGTAACATATAGCATTTACAGAAGTACTCCGATTTTTTAGGGTTTCGTAGCCTACAAGGGACCCTTATAGTTCCGCAATGACCGTCCGTCCGTCTGTTTCAGCTTAGCTCACAGACTTTTAGTACTAAAAAGCTTATTTAGTACTAATTTGATATGGAAATAATATACATATTAGTCACGCTGATAAAGTGGTAAATGATGCGGGCTTGGGACAATTTTTCGATTAAGAGATCCGTTTATGAAATATTAAACTTTAAAGTGCTATTTTTTGTTCAAGTCAAATGTCGTCATCTCGTCTATGTCGTGTTTTTAGGTTTATTATTTTTTTTCAATACGTGACGTCACCGGATGACAGAATCAATTTAAATTTTAAGAACTGGATTTATCATACAAATTCTCAAAGCTGTATTAAAAACTTAAATGAAAAATTGGCTGTTTCATCAGAAATATCACTTAAAGGAACCTTATTACTATGCTGTAATAATTAAACAGGAAACGTTTTTTTTGCGAACAAAATTCAGAACTTCACAAAAATGCTAAGTACTTAGTTTAGATTATTATAATGTTATAAAATTTTCATACTCATCATTTTTTACTTTGCTCCCTCTTCTGAAGCTAAGGAATACCGCAGAATTCCTGTAGAAGTTGCGTTACTTTATCGTTTGAAATCTTTAAAGCAAAAAGGTGCACTAAGAGGATATCCGCAAAGTTTTCACCTGATAATTCTCACGGATATTTTTTAGGAGTGAGTGAAATTATAGTAAAATCCGGTCTAAAGGATATACATGATAATATACTTTACGTAACAGTAATAAAGTTGAATTTACAGTGGATTCAGGTCAATCAACTTTAATGTGTGACTTGTAAAAATTACCGTCAAAATGACAAGTCAAGTGTTGCAAAATTTTTGCAGTGGATTAAAAGGATTTTGTACTTGTTAATATGATTTTTGTATAGATTTCTAAAAGGAGTGGAGTTAGATCATTATTTTAGGAGAATTCGTAGAAATGATGTGTTGTTAATTCTATAAAGTAAAATAAAATTGAAGTGTCTGTAGTTGTTGTAAGTAATTTATTAGAAAAAGTTCAAAGAAAAAAAAGAGAAAATATCTATTTAGCGATGATTCTAAAAATAAAAAATAATTTATTACCGTATCCCTCAATGCGAGTAGGATCGGTCCATAGAGCATTAAATCTATCAAAATCTAATAAGGTTATCTTAGCTATGCATATTTCGATACGATTCATTCCTTTACCATATGATGGTAATGTTAAAGACATATCTATATTGTCTATACATACAATAAAATTCTGACTCGAATCTGTACATTGAATATTTTTTGGAAAATCTCATGGAAATAGTCATTATTATCGATACAGAAGCCGAATCTATAGTTTTTAGAATTTTTGTCTGTCTGTTTATCTATTGTTTGTCTGGGAACACATCACGAAAAAACCATTGCACAGATTTTGATGAAATTTGGTATGATGATAGCTGGTTATCCGGGTCAACATATAGGATACTTTTTACTGCGGGAAAATATCTCTTCTCTGAGAAATCAATACTAAACTTTAAAACGCAACTAGGGATGAACCCGAGCGGAGCGAGGGTGAGTCCCTATATCGTGAGTGAGTTGAATATATAAAATTAAGTCGGGTTACTTTATAACTCAAGAACTGCTGGACCGATTTTTATGATATTTGATTTGTTAGAATAGTCTCCGTCCTGAATAACAGAATAACTATTAAAACATCGGAAAAGTTCACAAAAAAAATATTAAAAATGTTCATGCGTAACGCTGGCTAATAACTATAGTATTTAATTGTATATATTTAAAACGCACCTAGGACGCAACCGAGCGAAGCGAGTTTAAGTCGCTAATAATACATAAAATATAATATACAAATAACAAAAATTCTATACAAAACACAATTTTATACCGTGTTCTTCAAAGGATGCTTGCTATCAATTTATTTGACTTTATCGACAAAGAGCTCTGTTAATGCCAGTGTCGTAGCGTCAAATAACTAGGAAAGCAAAGGAGAGGCAAATCAGTAGAAATAAAAAGACAATTTTTCACGGGCCTTACAAAGGAAAACACTGGTGTTCTCTAACTAGGACCAGACTGTCTGCTATGCGTTGCACGTGAAATTTCAGAGCTTGCTGTGTATGGATATTTTTGATTTGATTAAATTTTAGTAAGAAATTTTAAATTTAAGTGAGTGAGAGGTTAAATTAAATAATATATAAGGTAGTACACTAAATAAGTTATAGGATATAAAAGATATTTATATTTTTGTTAAAAATATGAAAGTGATAAAAACTATATTATGAATGAGCGACTAACCCTCGCTCCGCTCGAGTCGTTCCTACTTCCGTGATACGGTCACAGGCAGACAGACAGACAAAAAGTCTAAAAACTATAGATTCGGCCTCTGTATCGATAATAATGTCTATTTTAATAAGATTTTCCAAAAAATAGTTAATATACAGATTGGGCTTAGAGTTTTATTATATGTAATGGTAATGGAATTTTATTATATGTATAGATATCATTATACAATCAATGTATAGAGCTAAATTTTAAAAAAACCCATAGTTATTAGACAAATGTAAATACCATAACTTTTACCTATCTAAAGTTAAGAAAAAAAAGAGTAAAGAAGCTTTTGAAAGGAAATGAAGGAAAAAAAAACAAGTGTTAAGCACTTTGCTCTCTGTCTGCCCTCTAAAAATATAAGTGTGAAATTTAGTGGGGCTTCTTAGAATATTATATTTATACTACAAGCTTTCGTAATGCTTCATCGGTTTGTTATTATGATTAAAATAGCTTATGTAACACTATTCAAATCGTTCATCCACCAGAGAAAGTTATATTAAAAAGGATTCAGCAGTTTCGGAGATATAGACAGAAAACAGACAAAGAGATATTTCATGTCATGGTTTTGAAACTATACAAATAACAATACAAGCATACAGTACGCACAAATAAAAAATAAAATAAACTCTTTTCTGTTATCCAGACAGCAAGAAAAAAAACAAGGCGGCCATTTTAAAATTCATCTTTCGATGCTCTATTCATTATTAAAAAATATATTAAAGAACACCAATACTAGCAATTTAAAATCAGAAGAAAAAAATGTATTTACAAGCTTACAAAGGAAAGCACTACCTCCTCAGTCCAAAGGAAAAGAATCTGCCCGACGTTACTTTGAATAAACTGTGAATTTTCTACCTTTGTGGTGTTTTTTGTATCCTTTTGATGCTATTGTTGAAGAATTCTATAAATAGTTCAGGCCTTTCTCGTCGGTTTCTTGCGAATTCTATTTTACTTACATTATGTTTAGTTTTTTTCAAATATATTTTAGTTCAAAGTTTAGTTTTACTTCAAATATATTTTATTTGAACACGTTTCATTGGTTTGAAAACTTTTAATGTTAGTTATTAAAGTTGGTTAGTATATAAATTCCAAATTTTAAATGTATTTATAATATGCCAAAAAATTATAAATATTACAAATAACTATTTAACTAAAAATAATATATATGATTAGAAATATATGTATGTACTAGCGGACCCGACAGACGTTGTCCTGTCTACACGTCTTTAATTTGAAAATTTCAAACTTTTTTTAATAATCTTTTTGATGAAAATTATTATTCAAATTGTGAATCTAAACCATTCCCA